CCATGGGCAAAGGACAAGCCTTTGGGATGCAAGAGGATCCATGAGACATGGCTCGCCAATCGGTTCCTGCATGAGAAGGACGGAGTCATTGAGGCACCCAATTGGTCTCGCATTGAGGGAGCCACTGAGTTGTCAGACCTGGTTCATTGGCATTACAACGATGGGTTCAAGGATGCACCGACCTGGGACACCATCCCCATTGAAGCCCAGGATGAGCCTGAATGGCAACAGGACGCTGCGTTCCAGATGCCATTGAACCTGAGAAAGGCCATGCTTGCTCGCGAGGTGACCCTGAGCGATCAAGCGAAGCTCAAGCGAGATAAGAGGCGGGATAAGAATAAGAGAAGACGTGAGAAGAAGCAGCAGGAGCATCACCTGACAGATGAGTTCAGGGAGGAGCTGAGAGCAACCATGCAGGAAACATCCAGGCTCCTCGCCCTTCATACTTGCCCTAATTAAACTACCTGAGACTGGCATCAGCTAAGGCAGCTAAGGTATGCAGCCTTGCAAGCCTTGCCTGCGTCGGCAAAGCTCCGAGCGCCCAAGGCCAAGGCCATGGGCAAGAGCAAGATGAAGAAGACCATGGGAAGATGGCCAAGAAGCAGCATAAGAAGCAGAATGCCCTGGCCAAGGCAGCCCATGAGGTACCTCAGCCTGCTCTACCTCCTCCGCCGCCCATGAGTGCTGAGCATGCTGCGACTCCTGAGCATGAGACAACCCAGGGCACATGGAGGGTGGTGCATGAGGCCTGTGGGTTCCATTAAAAGTAATGAGAAACCCCTAATTAAGCTCCCATACGGTGCAGGCAGCCGGTGTGAGCTTGTATGGGCGGCAAGGCACGATCATGAACTCCGGCGATGAGAGACTGCACATGCTTTTGGAGAAGGACCATGCATTCCCCAAGATGGGCAAAGCATGGGTCCAAAAAGCTCACGTTGAGCGGCTGCATGAGGGCCAGGATAAGAAAGTCTGGAAATGGGCCCAGATGACCTTCTACAGGAAATGGAAACAAGAGCGGCTCATGGAGCTGGGTCTCTTGAGCGATGACCTGGATCAGCTTGATGGGCTTGATGAGGTCGCCATCCTGCCATACCCGGACATTCCTGCCGGCGGCATTGAGCTCCAGCACCTGCATTTCGGATGGGGGATCTTGGTTTGGAGCATGCTTGTGCACACATTGCCATGCAAGACCCTGGGTTTCATTAGTCCTGGATGGACACAACCGCTGTACCTGCATCATGAGAATGCCAAAGTGGATGTGGCAGCCTTCGTTGACTGCATCAAAAAGCAGATGAGTGCTCATAAGCTGAACTTCCTGCCATTGGGCTCTGGTGGGCACTGGGTTCTGCTCGTCATAGATGGTACACATGAGTCTGGGACCCCTCAAGTGAGGCACACCATGCTTTCTCTGGGGTTTTTCCATAAGGCAAAGTAGCCTCTGGGGTTTTTCTTTGCATGAGCTCTGAGAGCCATCCCTGAGGTACTACGACTCCCTGCCAGATGAGAGAGCGCAATGCAGGGATTATGCCGAGAAGATCCTGGCATCCCTGCTGAGCATGGGCCTGGTGCATGAGGCAGTGCTGCCTCCTCGCATGAACAGAGTCTTCCAAGGGATTGATGAGTGCGGCTTCCATGTCCTGGCAGCCATGGAGCAAGAGGCTGCAACAGCCATGGGCTTCGGAAAGGCCTGTACTGGGTGGCCTGCACATTCGGCCAAGAAGTGGCATGAGCGGCTGCATAAGATCACAAATGCTGTTCATGCAGAGCAGAAGAAGCGACTGGATGAGCTGAAACAGCATAAGAAGAAGGAGGAGGCCCATGGACAAAAGATGCTGGGCCTCACTAAGAGTCCTTTTGAAATGAGTTTTAGGGTTGTCCATTTTCCCCTTTGAAATGAGTTTTAGGGTTGCCCATTTTCCCTTTTGAAATGAGTTTTAGGGTTTCCTGCCTTCATCCTAGGATGAGACAAGAACGGGAGCACATGGCGGCCATGGCTGAGAAACGATTGGCCAAAGGCCTTGAGCTGTCTCAGCTCCAGAAACAGGCCCATGAGGTCATCAGCCTGGGCAAAGTCCTTGAGATTGCTGACATGCCTCCTGCATATCATCAGGAGGCCGACCGCATAAGACTCATGGAAATTGGAGTCTGCAGCCGATGCCGAGATGCATCAGGCTGCTTGAGTTGTGATGAGAATAAGCTCTTGGCTTACTGGATGAGAAAGGAAGCTCGGCGATTGGGCAGAAACATTGCCCATGAGTACAAGCTGAGCTCGACCGGACATGACCTCACCAAATGAGCAAAAGTCCGCCAGGATGAGTCACCCATTAGCCCTTACTGAACCTAAACCCTAAACCCTAAAATCTTAGATCGGGGATTTTTGGGGCGGGTCCTGTCTAATCGGGGGGGGGTTTATTTGGGCTCCGGTGTTAATTGGGTGGGTTCTAATGGAAGTGTTCATTAGCGGCTTGGATTTTTCGGGATGGACCTGTCTAATCGGGGGGGGGGTTTGTTAATCCGTATCTTGCATTATTGCAGGAGGGGATTTTGCTTCTGGCCGCGCCTATCATGTACACAGGCAAATTTGCATTTGTCGTGATGGTAGTCCTTCCGCTTGTCAATGTGGGGGGCGCCTTGAGCGCTGCGGTGGCTACTCTTACCCTTGCGAAAGCAAAGAGAGAGTAGTCGTTGTGCCCCAAGTGTTGCAACCTGTCGCGTTGGTGCTGCCCTCCATCGTGTGCAGGGGGTAGCCTCTCCAGTTGACCTTCCCTCGGGAGGGAGAGCCGGGGCGGTACTCCGGGTGCAGCCTCCCGGGTTGATTCACCCTCGTGGTGGGGGAGCCCAATGGTTGAGCCAAGCAGTGCTTGAGACCGCATGTCCGCTGCCGCTCGCAGTTCATAAGAGAAGGAAAAGGAGGAGAGTGAGGCTCCCTGTGCATGTCTGCCAATCCCTGGTTCCACTCCGGACGATAGGGGTGTACACTGCAAAGCCGGGAGACGACTCTGAGACAGACGTCATGACAAACGCTCACGCTGCCCAACTGCAGTGAACTGGGACAGCACTTGTTCGTCGCCTCCGCATTGCCGAGCACCACCCACCGTGACCTCACTGATCACATCCGCGGCGTACTACGAGGTGAAGCAGCTTTGGGAAAGTAAGCACAGGGTGCCGAGGAAGGTGGTGTTGAAACCGGACGTGTGAGTATCGATAGGAACAAACGGCCGCCTAGGGCATTAGGCAGTGGCGACAGAATTAGTTTTGATAATATGACTGCTGAGCCGGAGCTTGGCACTGCATGCAACCTCCCGAAGATCTAGCCTTTTTTGTTACGTCTGTGCCTTTGTGGAAACCCCCATACACTCCAGCAGCTCTGACTTCCACATCGACGTTTAATGCTGACGTCAACGTCTTTTCCACTTAGCTTCCTTCTTTAACTCTGCTGTGTGCAGACACGGTATCCTGCAGGAGACCTCATCTCCCAGCCTAATCCAGACGGGCCTCAGAGCCATTCCAAGCTTCGCTACAAGTCTAATGGGACCGTCAACTTGGGTACAAGAAGTTGTTGCCTCTTTTCGCAGATGCCCTGCAAGATGGCACCCGTGACGGTTTCGTGTAAGGGGTACCAGTTGCTTCCAGAGTTCTAGGTTTGTTGTGCATGATTCCTAGGGCTTCTCCTAGTGCCTGTAGTGTAGCTGACGCAATGGTGTTGTGGTGTTCTTCGCTCGCTCGGAACCGCGGCATAGCCCGGTCGAAGCCCAAAAACATCAATGTACCTCCTGTGTGCTGTTCCATGTTTTTACTTACAGGCTGAAGCTTCGCAGTGCCAGCCAGTGCAAGTAGAGAGCACATGCCACAGGGGTGAGCCCGAACTCAACTCGAGTCCTCGTGTGCCGTGCGGGTTTGAATGATTTGAATATTTTCTAGTTAGTGCACAGCAGAGAGGGGCGGGGAACACCATACGCAGTGCGGGGCGAATCGGAGATGTGCATCCGACAACAGAAACTATTAATCCTACAGGTGCAGCCTTGGCATGTGAGATGCATGTCCTCGGAAGGTCAGGGCGAGCACTTTCTGTGAGCGCTGGAGTCCTGTGCCCGCTACACTTTGCTCAAAGCATCCGGCTGGGGCAACCCCTTCGTTGCTGGTTTGATCTCTGAGGGGATCGGGCCTTCCCCGCGAGCAACTCCTCTTGAAGGGAACCCTGAAACGCGGGAGCCCGACCAAAGCCAAACGGGCAACCCAACCAAGGGCATGCCTCCACACAGGGGCTCGCCCCTAGGCCCTGTGAAGAAAGGGGAGAGAGAGAGCTTTAGTTTGACAGAGAAACAGAGAGACGCACCCACATGCAGTTCCAGACTCGCATCGATCCAAGCAGACAGAAACACGCTCGCGCATGGTTGCCTTTTCCCGAGCAATCCCTTATTTCAGGCAGCAGTTCCATGTGCTCGAGGCCCGACCTGGCGGGGATGTGTAGCATGGGGCGGAATCGCGCGCAGTTTGGTTGATCTGCGCTGACTTGGTTCTGCTCGCAGATCAAGCCTTGCACCACCGGCGGCGGCGACCACTGCAAAACTTGCCAAGGACCAGCGCACCGACAGGTTTGGGGCCCGGATGTGTTTTCGCCGATCTTCCGAGCGGACG